CAAGGGCCAGAAGCCCATGGGGGAGCTTTGCAACATCCCCATCCAAGGAAGAAAAAGGGCTGCGAGGCCCTGCAACCACAAACCTGAGCACTAGTGAAACCGCCGATCAAGGCACACTGTGAGACCGTGCCAGGCATAACCATCGCCAAACCTCCAGTGTTCCCTCTGCCGAGCCAGGGATTGAAAATAAATGTAACCAAGACCCAAAAGGCGCGACGTCAAAGCCCATGAAATGACGGCTGCCGCCACAAAGGGCCGTGAGCACTCTTGAACTGCCCGCCGATACGGAGGAACCTGCTGCCAATCTCAGAGTGGCCCACTGAAGGCTGAAACGCTGACCGGGTAGCATCAACACAAGCAAGTGCTTCAACAAAAAGAAAGAGGCGCTTGAGCGCCAAGGCCACCGAAAATGAAGAGCGCCACAAAGCATTGATCCCCGCCGAAAGTCCGGGGAAGGAGGTTTGCGCCCGGCATGTGGGGCAGAAAAAACGCCACCAAGCAGTGAAGGGAGAGGGCCAAAGAACGGGATGGGCGCATGCAGTGGCGCCCAGCCAAAGCCCTCCACACACCAGAGCCACAGCGGAGCAGCGGGCCTGAAGAACAAGGTCACGCGAGAGCATGGCACAGAGGGGGCACGCGACAGGGCCACCACACCGCGCAAGGCCAAAGAAAGCCAACAGGACCAACCAGCCAAGGACAGCACCAGAGGACACGAGACGGGGCCGGCAGGAATGGGTCGCCCGTGAAAGAGTCGCCTGGCCCAGGTTGCCCGAAGACCTACGATGACCTGAGAGCCAGGGCAGCTATAAGGGTATCCTTTTTCTGTAGTCTATTTTAGCAGGGGAACCCTCCCCCCAAAAAAAAGGTGAGAAAGGGCACCTAGCTGGGGGAACTAGAAACCAACCCAAAAAAGAAAAACTGTACACCAAGGGCAGAGCATCCTCATCTATGCTTTCTTGGGCAACCCTGGCCGCGCTCACCTCAACATGTGGCTCACCCGAAGCGATCAATCCTTCGGCAACGCGGCAGGGAGACGACTCCGTGGTCAGAGAAGTAAACGGTCTTTGTTTTGAACATATTTTGACTCACCAGCCAGATGGGAGAACTAGAGGCAGAATGTTAGTTTGGCTGTGGGTCAAAAAACCCAAAATGGAACCCTGGGAAATGGAACCAACAACTAACACCTGTGGTCCGATCCCTGGCGGTTTAATTTTGACCCACGCCCGTTTGTCTCAGGAGCTTGTTGAAATCCTAATCCGCAATCTCCGCACCTGGCGCATACGTCCATGGGGATGCTACAACCAGCTCCAGCTCCTCTACTGACGCGCTGACCCGCGGCATGGCACACGGATCGCAAACTGAGGCCACTTGGCTGTGAGTCAAAATAGGTACCCAAAACAGAACCCTGGTAATTGAACGGTCCCCTGGTAGTTGAATTTTGACCCAATTTGGATTGCTTTTAAAGGTACCCCTAGTGGATCCAGTAACCCCGGAAACTAGGTACCAGGTAACTACTCGATGGACCAGTTCTGAGTCGATCTAAGCCTCAACATTGAGGCGCTTGACATGTCCAACAATATTCTTACAAGAAAGATGTGGGGAGTGAAACAATACTCCTGGTCGCCAAACGAGCAGGCTAACTTTTCTCATTTCGTGGGAGACCTCATCTTGTTTTCCCCAAAAGGTTGTCCCACACCTTTTGACCAACTCCCTATGGAACACCCAGTTGGCAAAAAGTTCTCACGTCCTAACATCCCGCAAAATGCAAAGCTTTGATCAACCCTTGAGGAAACATTGAAACCGATACAAGAACACTCGACCATGGGAACCCGACAGGTGCCCGCCCGACAGGTGCCCGTTGGCTGTGCCTACTTCGCTGCCCCGGGTCTGGTTTCCCCCAATTCTACTGGATCCTTGCTTCAGATTGCGAGTAAAAACAAATCTGAGCCATGCCTTGCAAGGAGCGAACCGCCCAGTCCAAGTTTTGTCTTGAAGAGGCCCGTGGGATCCCGTGGGCGTGATATCGCGACCCCATGAGTGGCACTAAATGGGCTTCAACATGTGGACAGGGCGTTCCATCGGCCGGTCGACCGGCATGTGGGCTGAAAACCACCCAAATGTGCGAAGGCTTTGAGCCATCCACAGCCGCAGGTTCTGAAAGAAGGCTGAAGCTGGCTATAAGGCCAAGTTTAGGGATCGATCAAACGCGAGGTCACCGGTTTTTCCCCAACAGCTGAAAGCTTTGGGGTCTCAGCCCAGATAGGCTCCGGGGTGGTCCGGGGCGGCCCTGAGGTAAAGTTCTACGAGGGTTTCACCAGGGTTCCACGAGGTTCTGCGAGCACTAAAAAAGTGCACCACATGCTGTTGGGGATATCACCTGAGCTTATTTTGTTTGGCATGGAAGGAAGCCAAACCGGAAAGACACATTTTTGAGGTTCCTCTATTTTGACACATGCCCACATGGGTATGAACCACTGCCACCCGAACATGGAATCGGAATGTTATTTCTACTTTTAACACGTGGGAGCAGCATGAATCATACAAAACAGCGTGAGTTCAAAGCGGAAAGTGGAATGGGAACAAATTGAACCTCCCTCCCCCTCAAAGTCGGCGATGTGTCTTCGGTGTCAAGATCAAAACTACCAGAGAGCACCGAGCCTCAAACCAAGACACACGCACCGCATTGAGATGTATTCGCTCCATGCATTTTGGACGGTGTTGCAACCAATAGACCTCCTCTTGTTGCTTCTGATGCTAATACAGTATAATTAGCTAGTTGGCACTTGGCACCGTGTAGTTTGCAACCACGGGTATGCCTTGCGAGCTTTCTGGGAACGGCCTGCAACGCTGGATGGACTCAAAGATTGCCTCACTTGCTGAGTGGATGGCCAAAAAGAAGTCCAAACTTTTTATTTACCACTAAAATGGTCTTCCCAAACAGTTTGAAGTTCATGAACTCAGGAAGTGAGTTGCAGCCTTTTAAATTGAAGAGAAGCCATGTCTCGATGTCTCGAGGTTGGCGGCTTCCAGAGAGTGACCCGCAACGTGAAAAAGCCCAGTCCGTTGGTGGTCAAGTTAAGTGGGGAACTCGAAAAACAAGAAGGGAAACCGGTCTGCCACCCACCAACTGGGGCAAACCGAAGTTCTGAGCAACCCATGTGGCCATGGGTCAAAAGCCAAAATCAAATCGTACCCCCCCCCAGTGAATATCCGATTCAATCCCCACTAAGATCCCGAAAAATGGGTGGTGCACTTACCCCAAAATGGGTCCCATTGGATTTGACCCACAGCCATGTAAATCACAGACTCTACGTGCAGAACCTACTTGCACTATCTTCAACCGAGTAATCCGCAGCATGTACAAAAGGAGTCGACCCTGTAGAAACCTCAAATGCTTTGCCAACCTGGGAGATGATTCTGGCAAGAGCACGTAACACGGCGGCATCATGGATGCCGCAAATATTGCAAATGGGGGATCAGAGAAGCCCATGGCTGTACAGTTGAGCATGGCTGGCTTACTTGCAATATAACAAAGGCATCTGTAGAGCCCCCAAGCATGCAAGCAACACAGGGGTGCCCAGAGCACCCAAGCGGGTTTCTCAAAACGGGCCCCTTTGGAGGGAAACCAAAAAGGGAATCCAACCCACGTGTCTCGGGTGTCTCCTTAGGCTAGCCTTGGGGGTCCTAGACCCGCGACGAGTGACGGGTCCGCGAGTCTGGATCCCACTTTTCCGAAATGAGTCAGCTGTTCCAGTTGCACTGCCTGGGTTGGCCGAGAAAAGTCCTGGAACTTGTTATTTAACACCAAGATGGTCTTCCCAAAAAGTTTAAAGTCCATGAACGCAGGAAGTGAGCTCTGGTGGACATCAATTTCCCCGAGGATCGTTGTTTTGGACGAGTTTTTGGAGGGAAGCTGGAGCATTGAAACTCATAGCCTTGCCTCTGTGCAAATGTCAAAACTTGCTACCGCAAGGGGCGTGTGTGAAGTAGACGGTTCCAACAGTGGTTGAAACTTGGAGCTCATCCCATCTCCCAACTGAACCCCGAACGGACCGCCTGCAAACATTGACCAAACATGGTCATGGTTCCCCTACCAGCAATCCTCATGGTTGTCCAAGTCCCCGACAAAGTTAATGACCATCCTTACTCACCCCAAGCAAAAGCAGTAGATTCTTACGATGGCTGTCCAACTCTCCTATTGAGGGTTCCATGACCATCCCTAAACCAGAGTAAAACGAGCAAATCTGCAGAATGGTTGCCAACCTCTCGTTAGAGTTAAAGGGTTGGTGACCATTCTTTCAAACTGTGTTTGTCACATGGGGGTGTCTTTTTTTTGAGGATGCCCACTTTTGCTTGGTTTTCAAAGGACAGACACCACAAGCCCACCATTTTAGGGTCCGCCATACTGAGACAAACTCCTATGGGGGGGTTCCAAACTTCAATCCTTGCCCGACACGCAGCCGGTCTTCCAGCTTTTGACACATCGGGCAACGGCTTTCCTCACTTGCCCGGGCAATTCGAAATGAAAGCTCAACTTTCTGTAACTTTGACGACACTACCACGTCCTTGCGGAACTCCTGGTAGCTGTCCGGCTCCCTTCCAAGCACAAGCTATGTTAAATATGCACCAACACATGGAAAGCCACAAATGGTCAAAAGGATTATTTTTTCCTTGGGGAAGCTCCACGCACTTTTCCGGCGAACGCCTGTCGCTACAGCCTTCTAGGTGGGCGACTCAATGAAAGATCATGCGGATGGTCCACTTCGAAACCATGGTTGAAACCAATGCCTGTTGGTATTTACAGCATTCCGTGGTTGAAAGCATTGCTTGTTACGCGATTTACGTTGGGAAAGCGCCTCAGAACCTGGTGGGGTTTCTTTTTTTCGACCGGTGCATGAGCTGCGTAAAGCTCCGTCCATCCGTCCCATATGGCCATGGTTCAAAACCAATGGTACCATTTTGGGATAGGTGCACCACCCATTTTAGAACCTATTTCAGTGGGGATTGAATCGGATGTTCACTGGGGGTACGATTCGGGTTTTGACCCATGGCCATATCTTTGCCGCGGACCGCCGGAGGCTCCCATTGCGTCTCATCGGGTCTTCTGCTTCTTGTTGGCGGCGAAGAGGATCAGCTTCTTCGCCAAAGCCTCAAAATCCGAAGCCGAGCCGAATGCGTGGCGCCCGCTTGGCGCCTTTTTTTTTTGCACTGAAGAACGACAAAAAGGGGTTCCCAAACCGAGAGACATTTAAGAGGGGTTGGCAGGAACTGGAACTTGCGGGTTTGTTTGAGAGCACTTTGTTAAATTGAAAGGGAGGCCGAAAGGAGCAACACACACATGATAAGTGGTAGTACTCCCCAAATGAACGCAAGCAACCCTATGGTTCCCCAAAAGCAGATTCCTCTACAAATGGGTAGGCATTGGGTAATTGAGGAAACACGTATGGCTGATTCCGTGGTCCGGGACCCGCCCCTCCATTTGCGAACACCCCGCCTGGAAAAAACAAACACATGCTTCCACCAGTGATAGATTCAACCTTTAACACCAACAGGGGAATCGCCCCCCCCCCCCGGCAAGAAAATATGGCAAGTTTCCCTTTAAAGGGTGTTCCTTCAAAAAAAACAACCAGCCCAAAAAATGCAAAAATGACACTCCAGAATCAACGAACCAACCCAGGCCAAAAACAACAACATTTGGGTGTCGCTGGGCCTTAGCTGAAAGCTCGTATCGCAGGCGTCTGGACATGTCAGACTCATGAACCCCAGATGAACAGGTCGATATGCTGGTCTTTTGAGGGTTCCCTTTTCCGGGTTGGCGCAAAGGGAAACAAACCAAAGGACAATCAACCAATTTCTGAGGTTCTCATTTGGAGACAACCTCATTTGGCACAGTCTTGGGAGAGCAACAGGTGAGAAGAACGGCAGTGGGCACAGTCAGTCCCTTTGAGTTATTGCACATGGTTGTCCACTGTGGAAAATCACACTGGAACGTCGGCCACTCGCGAACCAAGGCCACATTTCTCGTCGGCCTTTTCAAGAAGGGTTGTGGATGATGTTCCTGCTGCCGCTTTGTTTGAACTGGTGTTTCTACGGACGCCTGTGGCTGTGTCAGCTTCTTTCAACGTGTGCAGGGCTGCGGACGAGCCGAGCAAAGCGAGGTCCCGACAGGCGGGCTCTTGCTTTTGCAGGTCCCAAATGGGGCGATCGCCCAAAAAGATGGTCCAGAGTCCAGAGAAAGAGATTGGGTCTTTTCTTCTCCTCTAGTAGAGAGGTTGAACTAATGCGCTCCTTTTTGCCGTGGTCTATTTTAGAAGGGGAACCCTCCCAACCAAAAACGGGCACCACTGGGGGACCTAGGGCAACCGTATTTGTTTTCGCAACATAAGAGGGCACCCTTAGTGGGGAAAGATGAATGAGAAACCCAGTGGCTGTGTGGGTATGAGTCAGAACAGGGCTACCTCCAAAAAAGGAGGTGTGTGTGATTCCTGTTGGTTTCTCTTCAAAGCAACCTCAAACACCAATCTGAAAACGGGTACCCCCCCAAAAAAGCAAACCCCACGCAGCCTCAAACCCAACTCATCCACGGCGCCGGATCTTGTTGGATGATGCCGTCCAGCTGCGTCTCCTATGGACAAGCAGGACCTAGGTCGAACATTTAGGGGATTAACCTAGGGCTTGACCCAACCATCTTAAAGTCCAACCTTGGTTCTTTCTCATGCTCTAGGGAGTGATCCTCCAGCCTTTTCAACCCCAAAAAGTTCTTCTCAATCAACGCTGGGGCACAGCTGTCCAAATGTTCGATATGAAACGCATGACTCAAAATGGTTGATTCGGCTGACCTGGTTTGACCGTAGCTATGTTCAAGCAAAGCTGCTGGTTTTCGTTGTTGGCGGTTTTCCGGAAAGAAGGATGTTTGAAAATAATGGGAAGTTACCCCTGGAACTGCACGGTTCAAACGGCCATAAAGGATACCCTTCGTCGGCAAAATTCCCTGCCATATGGGTATAAACAGTCTCTTTTGAGAGAACCCCCTTTTGGCCCTCATGGGGTGTCTCAATGTGGCGACAAACCAGCTTGAGGTCTGATAGACCCCTTTGTCTGCCCTCCTAAACAACAACCCACCCCAAGCAACCGCATCCGAAGGAGGTCATGTGTGTCTTACACATAGGGATACAGGACCCCCATTCTAGTGTTGGCACAGCCATTCTAGTGCTCAACAGACAGGACCCTCAACATCTGCCGCTTTGATGTTCCCTCCTCTGGGGGAAACAAGGTGTCTGCTTTTTTTCAAAACCTGTCCCCTCTTGTGGGTAAATTGAACACTGTGGTCTACGTAACACCCAGGAGCCCTGAAACGAGACAAACCATGAGCCATGGTTTAACATTCAACTGACATTTGGTGAGTAATTCACCTCCATGTCAGAATGAACAAGAGATGGGTGCTCCCAATGAATCCCTCTTCACACTTCCCAAGCCTTGGCATGTGAGCTCCCCTACTTTGCCGGCCATAGACAAAAAATGACCAGAACCGGAAACACATGGAAAAACAACACACCCGCAATTGTACAACAAGTCCAAAAGCTGAATGAGGGGATCCCCAAGTAAAGGACCTTTCTCATGGCTTTCACTGGTTGTACCTCGGAACCGGTGAGCTCGCTATAAAACTAGGCAGCCACATGGCCATGGGTCAAGTTGCCCTCCAGGGAACATCCGATTCAATCCCCGCTAAAACAGGTCCTAAAATCGGTGACCGAAAACCACCGAAAATGGGATCCCATGAATTTTGACCCACAGCCATATTTGTTTTATATTTGTTTGGACCTGGCACCCTGCTAAATCGGCCCACATGCCAAGACCAGTGCAGCAAAAACGACCGCGCGTAGCTCGTCGACCGCAAAGGTCCTGGCGGTGCAGCAGGTCGCAGTCCTCTTGCAGAAGCTGCCAGCAGGTCTGCTCCACTTCGCCTTGGGGCTGCGCAACCCAAACAAAGGGTATGGGGTAGCAACAGACGAGGTGTTTTTTTCTGCAGCCCCCCACACCTAAAAATGAAGAGACCCCAAATGCCAAGAACAGTGAAGGGGCTGGACTTAGAGAAACAAATGTGGCTAGCTTTACAACCCAAACGATACGGGTGTGCATTAAAAAAAAACAAATGTGTTTTTTCTGCAGGCTGCTAAAAATGAACGGAACCGAAAACAAACAACCTGAACAAACATGGCAACCACAGCAAGGAACTGCGAAAATGGTGGGCTATCCTTTTCCCAGGGTTCCCCTTCGGAATGGCTATCTGTAGGTTTTGCATGGGGAAATGCTAGTAGAGGCGGGGAAGCCCTCCCACATTCTTTTCTGAACGGCTGGGATGTTTCGGATGTTTAGGGTTCTGAGGACATCCTGAGCTCAGCGCAGGTTCCCTTTGACAAACACTAATTACGAGCTCCCATTCTTGTACGTTTTCCGTGAATGAGGGTCGGCGGCAGCTGCGCCACCATTGGAACCAGCAGGCCGAGGCTTGGTTAATCCGGGCTCGCCGTGCTATGCCCAAAGGGGCGCATGTGTAGGCTTTGTCTTCCGACTGACGTGTCCAGCGCCTTGGGTGCACGATCACCGCCTGCGGGGTCATTGGAGCTCGAGCAAGGGCTCAAAACACTGCAACTATGCAGCACCCTGGCTGCATTGCTTTCGGGAGCCCCGGCGTTCGCGACCCAACTGGTGGATGCTATGTCAAAATCGGAGCGCGACAATACCTGGACCCCTCGATGGACCGACTCATTTTCTCTGCCTTTGTCCCCCCTTTTTGTCGGTCAAGTCCTTTGCGGCTCCAGGTAGCGAACTTGCTTTTGGTTTCCCTTTAGTTCCACGGCCAAAAGCCTTCCGCAGTGCGGCACCAGTTCCTTTCCCGGAAATCCAGCTTTACATGCCGACTTGAGAGCAAAACACGAAATGCTCCAACCTGACATCCCGAATGGTTGTAGCCAAAACGACTCTGACATGTGTCATCCTTGCAAAAAAGAAATAAGTAGGGAGGGAACAAAAGTATCCTCAGAGAAATGTGCTGAGAACCTTCTTCAAAGGGGTTCTTAGCGTTTGGCAACTCTTTCTGGGGGCAGAGCCGAATTCTCTCTCTCCTTAAGAACACGTGAGGCTTAGTAGCCACACCTTCCAAAGATCCAGCTCAACTGGGACAGACCGTTCTTGACCCTTTTGGGCGTCCTTTCTTGGACTTGGGTGCCGGCGTGCGGCTGCCAGTGTCAAAGACCTGGCTCAACACCAGCAGCAAGGTCTCGTCCGAAATCTTGCTCTTCAGCAGCTCAGCTACTGC